GTAAAGAGCATAATAAATTTTTAGTCAAAATATATTTGGTTATCTTCTACAAAAAACTGATGACGTCAGCTCAAAAGTTTTCCGAATAAATCGTATCTAAAATGTACAAAATATGATGAGTCTGTACTTGTGATTTATCATTCCATTCATATTTTTGGATTTGCATATGCAGGGTGACTCAAAAAAATTAATGAAGGCGTGAATTTATTTTATCGATTTAATCAGGAATTACAAAACCGAATGCTTTGAAATCTTGGTAATATTTTAAAGTTATTATAAGCATGGTAAACTTTTGTTCAAAATGTATTTGTTCATCCCTCCTAAAAAAATTGATGACGTCACCCTTAAATTTTGCTGAATAAATCCTATCTAAAATGCAAAAAATATGATGAGTTTGTACTTGTGATTTATCATTCCATTCATATTTTTTAGATTTTCTTAAGAGGTGGTTCAAAAAAATTAATGAAGTCAATTTATTTTATTGATTAAATTAAAGGCAACACTTATTATTAGTATTACACCCCAACCAACCCAATTTGGTAGACACAAAATTTGTTAAAGGAAAAACTCGGTTGAAACATAAGGGTAGCACGCTTAATTACATCGACTTTAACATTACAGACCTGCATTTGTTTTATGCGTTCACTTGATTCCGCGAATGTTGAATAGACATGTTTATAATCAACCAATTGTGAATTTCACCGTCAAGAATTAAAATAAAACCTAATGTTTTATATAATAAGCGGAAGTCGAAGCAATAAAACCGACGGTCGTTTTGTTTACAGTTTCTGTGTTTGGCTCTCACGTATGCTGTTACGCCTGTCATCTTAAATTAACAATGTTTATACATACACGATTTTCAGTTGCCTCTGATACGTAGGTATACGTGAGTAAATTGTTTCGTTATTTTATTGATTATTACAAATCAATATTCAAACCGAAAATTTGAGAATATAATAATTTTATTCTTAGTATTACACTACATCTATCCCAACTGATATACGTGTCCTTGCAAAAATGTTGATGACGTCATCGCAATTTTTTTTTAAATTCCCACTACAAAAATGTAATGAGAAAAAAAAACACAATAGGCATGCAGTCGTCAAGTTTCCGACAGCGAGGGAAGTACTGTCTAAACTCTTTAGACCAATTTTTTTATTCGCCATAAGCCGAGGGGCGGAGCCTAATTATAGAATCCATATTTCCTTACACAAATGTACCATTTTAAACCTATTTTAAGTTTCTAAGAATAAAAAAAATCATCACAATTGAGATGGGGTGGGTGGGCGGGGTTAATATTTTTCCTTTTTTTTTCTTATATACATAGTATTCTTTGAATAATACGATACTCAAAAACATATTTTTTATTTCTTGTATAGAAATAAATACTTTGAAGTTAAGCTCCGCCCGCTTGGTTCACAGCGAATAAAAAAAATCATCACAATTGAGACAGGGCGGGTGGGCGGGCTTTCATTTGTCCTTGTTATTTTAATATATTTAGAGTTCTTTCCACAACATGAAACTTACAACATGTTTAAAATGAAGAATTTGTATAAAGAAATATCGATGTTGCAACTAGGCTGCACCTTATAATTGTAAAATCTATATTTCCTTGTAAAGATGTGTCATTTTAACTATGTTTTAAGTTTCTTGTTGTGAAAAGATGGCTGCGTATATTTAGAAAAAAAGGGCAAAATATAAACCCCGCCCACCCGCCCTGTCTCAATTTTGATGACTTTTTTATTCGCCATAAGCCGAGGGGCGGAGCCTAATTGTAGAATCCATATTTCCTTACAAAAATGTACCATTTTAAACCAGTTTTACGTTTCTAAGAATAAAAAAAATCATCACAATTGTGATGAGGTGGGTGGGCGGGGTTTATATTTTTCGTTTGTTTTTAGTATACGTAGTACCTATTCTTTGAACAACACGATACTCAAAACATGTTTTTTATTTCTTGTAAAGAAATAAGTATTTTGCAGTTAAGCTTGGTTCACAATGAATAAAAAAAATCATCACAATTGAGACAGGGCGGGTGGGCGGGCTTTCATTTGTCCTTGTTATTTTAATATATTTAGAGTTCTTTCCACAACATGAAACTTACAACATGTTTAAAATGAAGAATTTGTATAAAGAAATATCGATGTTGCAACTAGGCTGCACCTTATAATTGCAAAATCTATTTTTCGTTGTGAAATGTGTCATTTTAACTATGTTTTACGTTTTTTGTTGTGAAAAGATGGATGCGTATATTTAGAAAAAAAGGGCAAAATATAAACCCCGCCCACCCGCCCTGTCTCAATTCTGATGATTTTTTTATTCGCCATAAGCCGAGGGGCGGAGCCTAATTATAGAATCCATATTTCCTTACACAAATGTACCATTTTAAACCTATTTTAAGTTTCTAAGAATAAAAAAAATCATCACAATTGAGATGGGGTGGGTGGGCGGAGTTAATATTTTTTCTTTTTTTTCTTAGTATACATAGTATTCTTTGAATAATACGATACTCAAAAACATATTTTTTATTTCTTGTATAGAAATAAGTACTTTGAAGTTAAGCTCCGCCCGCTTGGTTCACAGCGAATAAAAAAAATCATCACAATTGAGACAGGGCGGGTGGGCGGGCTTTCATTTCTCCTTGTTATTTTAATATATTTAAAGTTCTTTCCACAACATGAAACTTACAACATGTTTAAAATGAAGAATTTGTATAAAGAAATATCGATGTTGCAATTAGGCTGCACCTTATAATTGTAAAATCTATATTTCCTTGTAAAGATGTGTCATTTTAACTATGTTTTAAGTTTCTTGTTGTGAAAAGATGGCTGCGTATATTTAGAAAAAAAGGGCAAAATATAAACCTCGCCCACCCACCCTGTCTCAATTCTGATGACTTTTTTATTCGCCGTAAGCCGAGGGGCGGAGCCTAATTGTAGAATCCATATTTCCTTACAAAAATGTATCATTTTAAACCAGTTTTACGTTTCTAAGAATAAAAAAAATCATCACAATTGTGATGAGGTGGGTGGGCGGGGTTTATATTTTTCGTTTGTTTTTAGTATACGTAGTACCTATTCTTTGAAAAACACGATAATCAAAACATGTTTTTTATTTCTTGTAAAGAAATAAGTATTTTGCAGTTAAGCTCCGCCCTCTTGGTTCACAATGAATAAAAAAAATCATCACAATTGAGACAGGGCGGGTGGGCGGGCTTACATTTTTCCTTCTTGTTTTAATATATTTAGATTTCTTTTCACAACATGAAACTTACAACATGTTTAAAATGAAGAATTTGTATAAAGAAATATAGATGTTGCAATTAGGCTGCACCTTATAATTGTAAAATCTATATTTCCTTGTAAAGATGTGTCATTTTAACTATGTTTTAAGTTTCTTGTTGTGAAAATATGGCTGCGTATATTTAGAAAAAAAGAGCAAAATATAAAACCCGCCCACCCGCCCTGTCTCAATTCTGATGACTTTTTTATTCGCCATAAACCGAGGGGCGGAGCCTAATTGTAGAATCCATATTTCCTTACAAAAATGTACCATTTTAAACCAGTTTTACGTTTCTCAGAATAAAAAAAGTCATCACAATTTAGATGGGGTGGGTGGGCGGGGTTCATATTTTTCTTTTTTTTTTCTTAGTATACATACTATTCTTTGAGCAACACGATACGCAAAAACATGTTTTTAATCACTTGTAAAGAAATAAGTACTTTGCAGTTAAGCTCCGCCCGCTTGGTTCATAGCGAATAAAAAAAATCATCACAATTGAAACAGGGCGGGTAGGCGGGCTTACATTTTTCGTTCTTGTTTTAATATATTTAGATTTCTTTTCACAACATGAAACTTACAACATGTTTAAAATGAAGAATTTGTATAAAGAAATAGCGATGTTGCAATTAGGCTGCACCCTATAATTGCAAAATCTATATTTCCTTGCAAAAATGTGTCTTTTTAACCATGTTTTACGTTTCTCGTTGTGAAAAGATGGCTGCGTATATTTAGAAAAAAAGGCCAAAATATAAGCCTCGCCCACCCGCCCTATCTCAATTTTGATGATTTTTTTATTCGCCATAAGCCGAGGGGCGGAGCCTAATTATAGAATCCATATTTTCTTACAAAAATGTACCATTTTAAACCAATTTTAGGTTGTAAGAATAAAAAAAATCATCACAATTGAGATGGGGTGGGTGGGCGGGGTTTATATTTTCCTTTTGTTTTTTTCTTAGTTTACATACTATTCTTTGAACAACACGATACTCAAAAATATGTTTTTAATTTCTTGTAAAGAAATAAGTATTTTGCAGTTTAGCTCCACCCTCTTGGTTCACGGCGAGTAAAAAAAATCATCACAATTGAGACAGGGCGGTTGGCCGGATGTGCATTTTGTCTTTTTGTTTTAATATGTGTAGACTTCTTTTCGCAACATGAAACTGACAACATGTCTAAAATGTAATAATTGCAAAATCCATAATATTCTTGCAAAAATGTACCATTTTAACAATGTTTTAAGTTTCTTGTTGTGTAAAATCCTTATTTTGCTACGAGAATAATATAATACCTAGTGTTCTATTTTTGACATGAATAGCAATAAATCTTGTTGATTTAAGCGTAGAGAACTATCTTTAACAGTGAATAAGTACTGACAGAAGGCTACAGTATAGAAAATGATGGCAGCTATTTTTTTTAATGAATTTTGAAAATTTATTTTATTTTAACAGCACAAAGATGACAGTTCCACAGATTATATTATCACTTTATATTACAAGAAAGTTGACACTTTTCTGGGGGGTACCTCCTATCCCAGAACGCAAACAAACATGAATAGAAATTACGAGGTATTAACAATATTTTCCTTGTCTCTTTAAAATAACACAATAAACTAGCCAGAAAAACAACAACAAACAACCAAACAAAAAATAAATTCCATGTCGCCTATCGCTTTCGAGCATCGATCAGCCACCCATTCACAACTTCTTCCTCAATTAAAGGCGCCCCCACCGCACCGCCATCTTGCACCGTCCGCCCCAACTACTCTTCGACGCCTGCGTGAACGGCGGCGCTCGTAACCGCGCCCGATGGACGCCAGTACGCTCGCAACCATGGATAAGGACGCTCTCAAGAAGCAGATAGAGAACATGAAATACCAGGCATCAATGGAGCGCTGGCCCCTCTCGAAATCCATCGCCGCGTAAGTAGCCCAACACTTTCACATTCTAATTTCGGCCGAATCCTCACATTCTGTGCGTATTTTTTGCGAAAATAGGCGCCGGTGGACGTATCGAGCGTCGCGATGCCAACATTTCGCTTGTACTAGCTGTTCCGAAAAAATCGGAAATTTCGCGCTGTGTTTATGTTGATACGGCCCTGGAGGGCGCGGGGGGCCGCCCGCGGAAAACTTCGCGAGATGTTTTGCCATTGTTTCTTGATGGTTTGTGGTTATTTTTTGTGTTCTAGATGTTCGGTTGAGAAGGTCAGACACTTGTGCAGAGACGGAGTGAGGTTCGAGGGGCCCACGCGGTTCAGGGTTATTATGTAATTTCAAACAGAAAACAAACTGTTTATATTTTTTAAAGCCGGTTTTAGATTGACACGTATTAGTTTGAGGTTAGTGTAAGTTTCGTTTTGATTATGCTGTGCTTGTTACACACGCGATCCCATTTCTGATATTAAAACAAACACTATATACCTATACCTATATACTTTAACTTGTCAAAAATAGTTCATTAGCCAGATTACTAATTCGGTAAACTCCTCTAAATAATCAATCTTATCACATTATTTTATGGTTTGTTTGATACGTTCCATTTTGGTGCATTTTATGGCTTTCTGATATTTTTACGTTGTAGGTGTATGCGCTAAAATTTGTGTTTATTACCATTTTTATCAGTGTTATCACGTAAGGTCGGTTAATAAACACGAAAGTAGTTACACCTCCGCAATCTCTATGTCAGTGTGCCACGATCGACCGGACGTAGCGTGACAAATCCCAAATTACCCAAACTCTTAAAAAATTTCAACTCGTTATCCCTCACGCCACTTTTTTTTGAGTCCGCCCCTGTCGCCTCTTCCACGCAACAATAAACCGATTGTTCGCACTAAAACTTCTTTCGCAAACCGAAAACTTTGGCCCAATTTGGCGTTTTTGCCGAAAATAAACTTGCCACCGTAATTGACGTTCTAGATTCGGGTGTCCGAAGGTCAGACCGACTACTGTTTGGGTGAAGTTTCGACGAGTGAAAGTCGTGCTGTTCGGTCTAACCTCTATTTTGTGGATTTACAGTCTAAAGTTTTGTTTAATCATTGTAATCAGTAGATTAATTGAATATTTATGAAGGCTATGCAAGCAGGGCTGGGTTAGGCCGAAAGTTTCCACTAATTGACTTTGGGGTATTTCTTGTACATCTTTTTGCGGCCGTGTTTAGCCGAAATCGCGGCTTTATCATGCTAATTCTTAAATTAAATTAAGCGGAATTGAAAAGTGTAATTAAAATTTAAGGGCGCGTTTTACGAGGAAAGATGTTTTGCGTAATGGCGATTAAAAGGGACGGTTTTATTAGGGCGAAGTGGGGGTGGTGGTTGTTGAAAGTTTGATGACGTCACGGCGAAAGTTTGCTGAGCAATTTAAAAAGTATATTAATACTGTATTAATAAAAAAAATTGTCGAACCTTATTTCGGCAGAACATCCTAGAATTTTTCGATTTGATTTCTGGAGTTTTTCATTTTTCATTTTCTCAAATTGCAATTTTTCGGTTTTTCAGTGGGCTGATTTTATACACTAAACTCACTTGACATACACCTGGTAAAACTTTTATGACTTAAGCGGCTTAAGTCAAACCACCCTTATAAATCAAACTAGCTATTGTATAACTTAACCCAGTTGACATATACCTAGTAAAACTTTACAGCTCCATTATGGTAACAATAGATAGTAATAATCCTTGTGGTTCGGGTCCATAAAGCTTACAATAGCTAGTTTGACTTATAAGGGTGGTTTGGCTAAAGCCGCTTAAGTCAAAAGTTTTGCTAGGTGTATGTCAAGTGAGTTTAGTATAGTTTTTCTTTTCTCGAGTGTGGAAATTTTCAGATTTTGGATTTTTCGATTTTTATAATTTTTCAATTTCTCCATTCTTACTTTATCATGATTTTTCAATATTACAGTGTTTCGACTTTATCATTTTGACGATTTTATGTCTTTTTGATTTTACAATTTTTTTCTTTCCACTTTTTCTGTTAATACATTTTTTTCGTTTCTCCAGTTTCGCAATCGGCTAATTAAAACTTCCAAAAATTCCAAAATAAAAAAAAGTAAAAAATTGAATAAACGAAAAATTAAAAAATCAAAGTTGAAAAAAGAAATATTATGAAACCGAAACTTGTAATATCAAAAAAATTGTAAAATCGAAAAATTAAAAAAATGAGAAACGAGAAAACAAGAAATTATAAATGAAGAACTTGAAAAATGGGAGAAACGAAAAATTGAAAAATCAAAAAAAAGTAAAACTGAGAAATTGAAAAATCGGAAACCGAAACATTGAAAAATCTCACATTGGAAAAAGAAAAATTATAAAATCAGAACTTTGAAAACCCGAAAAATTAAACAATGTAGAAAGTAAATAACGGAAAAGAAAAATTGCATAATTTAAAAATGCGATCTCGAAGAATTTCGTACTTATCGTTAGACTGAAAAAAAATGAAAAATAGGAATGAAGAAAGGACAAATGGAAAAAAATGGAACTGAAAATCAAAAACTTGTAAAAATAAAGCAAACAAAAAGCTACAAATCGAAAAATTGAAGAATCGAAAAATTGAAAATTTGAATAAATAAAAAAATTAAAATCTACTAATTAAAAAATGGAAAAATTCTAAAATCGTATCACTGAAAAAGTGTACTATTTTAAAAGTTATTGTCATTACATATTTATAATAAAAACTAGAAAAATTGCAAATCACAAATTGAAGAAACGAAACATTAAAAACTAATGAAACTAAAAAATTTAAATTTGGAAAAACGAAAAATTAAAAACCCTAAAATTCAAACATCGAAAAATTGAAAAAATAAAGAAAATGAAAAAACGAGAATTTATCAAAAAATCAAAAAATTATACATTCAAAGAAAAACTATAAATTTTAATTTAAAAAATTGTAAAATCCAAAAATTAAAAAATCGAGAAAATAAAAAATTATAAATGAAGAACTTGAAAAACGAAAGAAACGAAAAATTGAAAAATAAAAAAAAAATTAAAAAGTGAAATTGAAAAATAAAAATGAAGAATTTGAAGAATAGAAGAAACGAAAAATTGTAAAATCGAGAAGTTAAAAATTGAGAAGTCAAAAAATCCAAAATCTAAAAATTGGAAACCGAAATATTCAAAAATCGAAAAATTTAAAAAACAATTAAATGAAAAAACGAAAGATTGCGTTATCAAAAATTATACTATCAAAGAAAAAAGAAAAACGAAAAAGTTTAATATGAAAAAATTGTAAAATCGAAAAATTGGAAAAATCGAGAACATGAAAAATTATAAATGACGAACTTGAAAAATGAAAGAAACGAAAAATTGAAACATCAAAAAATTTTAAAATTGAGAAACGGGAAAATAAAAATCAAGAATTTGAAGAATTCTTCAGCAGCGAAAAATTAAAAATTGAGAATTTAAAAAATCGAAAAAGGAAATGTCAAAAAACAAAATTTAAAATCGAAAAATTGTAAAATTAAAAATAGGAAACCGAAACATTGAAGAAACGAAAAATTGAAAAATTTGGAAGTCGAGAAATTGAAAAATTGAAAGAATTAAAGTTGCAAAAAAGCGAAATTATGACACCGAAAAATTGAAAAAATGAAGAAAATGAAAAATACGAAACATTGCGATATCAAAAAATATTACAATCAAAGAAAAAAGTTTAATATGATAAAATTATAAAATCGAAAAATTGAAAAAATCGAGAAACTGAAAAATTATAAATGAAGAACTTGAAAAATGAAAGAAACGAAAACTTGAAAAATAAGAAAAATAAAATTGAAAGACAAAAATTAAGAATTTGAAAAACAGAAGGAACGGAAAATTGAAAAATTAAAAAATTCAAATACGGAAAATCAAAAAACGGAAAATTGTAAAATCGAAAAATTGAAAAATTGGAAACCAAAACATTGAAGAAACGAAAAATTGAAAAATGTGGATGTCGAGAAACTGAACAATTGAAACAATTAAAGTTGACAAAAGAAAAATTATAAAACCAAAACATTAAAAAATCGAAAAATTGACAAAACAAAGAAATGGAAAAAACGAAACTTTGCTATATCAAAAAATTATACAATCAATGAAAAAGTAAAAACGAAAAAGCTTAATATGGAATATTATAAAATCAAAAAATGAAAAAAAATCGAAAACATGAAAAATTATAAATGAAGAACTTGAAAAACGAAAGAAACGAAAAATTGAAAAATAAAAAAAAATAAAATTGAAAGATAAAAATTAAGAATTTGAAAAATAGGAGTAACGAAAATTTGAAAAATTGAAAAATTCAAATATGGAAAATCAAGAAACGGAAAATGGTAAAATCGAAAAATTGAAAAATTGGAAACCAAAACATTGATGAAACGAAAAATTGAAAAATTTGGAAGTCGAGAAACTGAACAATTGAAACAATTAAAGTTGAAAAAAGAAAAATTATAAAACAGAAACATTAAAAAACCGAAAAATAGAAAACAATAAAGAAAATGAAAAAAATAAGGGAAAATTGCGTATCAAAAAATGATACAATCGAGCAAGGGCTAAAAACGGAAAATCGTGATATCGAAAAATCTAAAATTGAAAACAATCCAGATCGTGAAAAATTATTATACAAGAATTTAAAAAATGGAAGAAATGAAAAACTGAAAAATAAAAAAAATTTAAAATTAGGAAATTAAAAAATAAAAAAGAAGAATTTGAAGAATAGAGGAAACGAACAATTGAAAAATCGAAACAATGAAAGTTGCAAAAAAGAAAAATTATAAAACCGAAACATATTAAAAAATAAAAAAAATCAAAACATAAAGACAATGAAAAACCGAAACATTCCGATATCAAAAAATTATGCAATCAAAGAAAAAGAAAAAACGAAAAATTTTAATACCAAAAAATTGTAAAATCGAGGAAATAGTAAATTGTAATTGAAGAATTTGAAAAATGGAAGAAACGGAAAAT